ACTCCTGCACCAGGGCTATTGGCAAAAACTGGGGTCTGGAGCCAAAAATTTTAACACGAATACACATCGCGGTGGTAGGACCGGTTCTTTTTTACTGGTAGTAGTTTGGTGGGACTCTCTCAATAAAAACGTTAACAATGAGAAAATTGACAAAGTTTAATAGGAGCCATGTAGATAACAGCCACCAAAGTGCTCAAACCATTTTTCGCTACGAATCTATATGCAAGAAAGATGCCACGTAGTACCGCCATTAAGCACATATCGGTCACTGTAAAATTTTGAACGACCTTACTCAGTTTCCGCAACCGACTACATCCCACCCACCCGCACTTCCAAACCCAGTATCCATTACCCTTCTTCCCTCAAGGGATGAATGGTCAATGGACACAGTCAGCAAAAGAGGATCAATCCATGTTTACACGGACGGATCGAAGTTCGAAAAAAGAGTCGCTGGTGGAGTTTATTCGCAACAGTTAGATTTATCGTTCAGCTTCCGCCTTCCTGACTACTGCAGTGTTTTTCAGGCGGAACTGATCGCTGTCTCAAAGGCCGCATCACTATTAAAGTGTGATATTGTTCCTAGTTATGATATCTTCACCTTCACCGACAGCCAGGCGGTAATTAAATCTCTGGGAAATATGTCGCTAACTTCAAAAGTAGTTGCTCAATGCCGAAAATCTCTCAACGAGATGGCAGAGATATTCAGCGCACACGTTGTCTGGGTACCTGGCCTTTACGAGATTCATGAAAACTGCTAGGCTGACGTACTCAAGCGTCATGGAACGACATTGCCTCATACAGACATAAGGATAAGGGATACTCTCGGCATCCCTCTTAAAATATGCAAATTTCTACTGCGTGAAAAATTCATCCACCATAGACCAGGTATTCACAATACGCCAAATCTTAGAGAAGACCCGCGAGAAAGGATCGACACTCACCACCTATTTGTCGACTTTAAAGCCGTCTTTGACAGCACTAAAAGGAGTTGCCTATACGCCGCTATGTCTGAATTTGGCATCCCCTCAAAACTCATACGGCTGTGTAAAATGACGTTGAGCAATACCACCAGCTCCGTCAGAATTAGGAAAGACCTCTCCGAGCCGTTCGCCACAAACGGGGTTTCAGACAGGGCGACTCCCTTTCATGTGACTTTTTTAATCTGATGTTGGAGAAGATAATAAGAGCTGCAGAACTGAACGCTCAAGAACAATTTACTACAAGAGCGTGCAATTGCTGGCTTATGCCGATGACATCGACATCATCGGTAACAAAAACCGCGAAGTCTGTTCTGCCTTTTCCAAGTTGGATAGGGAAGCAAAGCGAATGGGTCTGGTGATAAACGAGGACAAGACGAAGTATCTCCTGTCATCAAACAAACAGGCAGCACATTCACGCCTTGGCACCCACGTCACTGTTGACAGTTACAATTTCGAGAAAGTAGAGAATTACGTTTACTTGGGAACCAGCATTAACACCGATAATAATGTCAGCATTGAAATCCAACGCAGAATCACTCTTGCCAACAAGTGCTACTTTGGACTGAGTAGGCAATTCAGGAGTAAAGTCCTCTCTCGACGTACGAAAACCACGCTCTATAAGTCACTCATCATGCCCGTGATGGTATATGGCGCAGAAGCATGGACAATGACAACATCCGATGAGGCGGCTCTTGGAGTGTTTAAGAGAAAGATTTTGCCTAAGATTTACGGGCCTTTACGCGTTGGCGACGGCGAGTACCGCAGACGATGGAACGATGAGCTGTATGAGCTTTACAAAGATATGGACATAGTGCAGCGAATTAAAATACAGCGGCTCCGCTGGCTTGGTCATGTCGTTCGAATGGACACCGACGCTCCAGTTCTGAAAGTATTCAACTCGGAACCCGCTGGTGGTAGCAGAGGAAGAGGGAGGCCCCCACTGCGATGGAAAGATCAGGTGGAGAAGAACTTGGCTTCACTTGGCGTTTAATTGCGCAGTTGGCACAGGGGAGAAAAGACTGGCGTGCTTTGCTGAACTCGGCCAAAATCGCTTAGGCGGTTACAGCGCCAAAAAAGAAGAGGAAGAAGAAGTTAGGTGCAGGGGCGCACGCTGGAACGACTTCTTCAGGAGCTGCATGAATGAACACGAAGAGGAAACTAACCCACATCTTCTCTGCCATTGCCCGGCTCTGTCAAAACGAAGATCAAAAGCTCTTGGGAGCCATTTGTTCAAGGATCTCGGTGACCTTAAAGCGGTGAACATTAGAAGCATATGCACTTTTTTGCTACGGACCAAGTGGTTTACAGGGGAACGGGGATAATTAAAAAAAATCCTCATGCGGTATCCTAACGTAATTATTTACACTTTTGGAATATATATACACTGAAAATAAAATTTCATAAAAGTGCTACGAAAAACTTTCGCAGTCTTGGTTTTTGTACAATGTGCGAAACTTTCGTTCATAAAACGAACACATTTTTCACAACGAAACAAGATTTTACGAACCATTCTTAAATATAACAAAAGAACTTTCGTAAGGCAATTTTTCAGTACAATTTATGAAATCTTACGTTACGAAAAACATTGGTAAATTACTGAATAAACCACTGTATGAATAATTTTGTATATTGTACGAAGGCATTCGTAATATTTACGTATGGTTTTAAAATTTACTCAATACTTTCGTACAAAGAACAAATGCAGAAACATATTTTTTAGAATTCGTACAACAGACGAATATTTTCGTACAATATACTAAATTACCATCAGTTTAATATTTCATCATATATTTATGTACCGTGTGTCATTGCAAAATTACTGGTTGGCTGCTGTATAATATAATTTAAATGTTTTAAGAGGGTTTCGCTGGATAAAAATACAATACAAAATTTAATATTAAAGCTGTGGATAAATGTTTTTAAGCATACAATGTTTTTAACTCGCCCACGCTGAGCCTTGCGCTGCAATGTGGGGCTTCATAAATAGGCAGTTTCATCAGTTACCTATCAACGGCAAGCCCAAGCTACTTAATGAAATTTTAAGTTAGTACATGTATGATTTTTCACTGAAACTTGCCTTTCAGACGCCTCATAATTTTCCTTTAATTTATAGTCATCAAGGAAACAAACATCGACGAAGCTGCGAATCTGCCAAGTACCTCCACATAAAAATATTATAATGTTTAAGAAAGTGAAACCAGTATTTTTTATATTCTTTCATATTTTATAACTTATTATATTTAATAGGGGTTTTGTTGAGTTTCATAATTTGAAACTTTGCATCAATATTCTTTATTGAATGAAGGCTAAGCAATAAAAAAATTTGTAGTATAGAACCTATTCGTATGCATATACATAAATAAAAGACTTAAGTTTTATTATAGGTAAAATAACCTTTTTATTAATTTTAAACTGCAGAGTAGTTAGAAAATTTAGGTAAAACTTATTATTTACGACAGTTATACTTGTAATATCTGCACTTTTTTTCGTAGCAATCATACATTATTTACACTGTAATAGACATAGTTCAAATTATAACACAACACTTTCATTACATTTATTTTAATCATTAATGTTAAGCGTTTTTGCAAAACATTTTGTTAAAGAAAAACACTTAAAATTAAGGATAAAAACAAAATAAAAATGTTGTGTTATAATCCATACTATGGGAAATCAAACAGCAGATGTGTATTTTGTAGCTTGTACACACTTTCGTAATAAATTTACGCCCACCACAGCAGCTATAATACACTCTAAAAAGTCCAAACTATTCGTTGAGTAATCGAGCATGAAATTTTGCGAATAATAAGGTAGAAAATCAGTAACCTCCATTTTAGCTAGGAAATCTACACAATTTTTTTTAGAGTGTACGCAATAAATTTGGTATGTAAAAGTAAACAGCCAATATTTAATTGTACTACACGATGTGTAAATTTGTATTCATTGAGATACCTATGCGCAAATTTAAACAAAAAATTTTTTAGTGGATGCGTTCTTTATACATTCTGGATAATCCCATTTCACAGCCAGAATAAACAGAACGCGTTTGAAATATACGTTAACATATCATCAGGAACGTTCTAAAGAATAAGTAAACAAAAAAGTTTATTCCAAATGTTCAGAATGAATAAAGAAATGCAGCCATTTGTTCTAGTGAGATACTGGTAATCGAACAACTATGAAATTTTTACACAACAAAGAAGAAGATGAGTAGCGGTAATTTCTGCATACTCAATATTTGTATGTTATGGATTCTGACACTATTGAAGTAAATTAGCGATATGCACATACATTCACACATATTTTAGTACACGGTCCTTTTTATTTTGAATTACCATACAATGTGCCTACGCACAAATATTTAATCTGTGGAAAAATTACAGTAGTCGATAATGCGATGGGCTGTGCCTTGAAATAACAAAGAAAGAAGTAAATTATATGACATTGGGAAAGCACATGATTCAATAATACAAGGTTCGATAAACTGACAGTTGTCTCTCTCGCACCGCTCCCTTAGCAGTGTCACCGGGTTGCTTCTTTGCAAATTTACATGGAAACAGTGTAGCTTTGGTGTGAAATAAAAGTATAAGCTTTTGTGCAATATCTTTATTTGTATATGCATACGAAGAATATTTAACTGATGAAAACATAAGCATTGGATGTTTACATCAGTCTCATAGTAGTCTTATTTTAATTTTGAGTCATTTTGCAGTTTTTATACGGCTAAATAGCATATAAATTACGTAATTCACGTAGATATATCAATATTACGATCAACATTTCGTTTAAAATGCCAGATTTCCTGCAAATACATTAGAATTGACGAAAGGAATTTCACTACTAATTGCCTACTTTGCGTACTTTTCTACTACCATTTTCGAAACAAGGGATTGCATTCTTGCCCTTTCTCTGTCCTTCGTAAATGCAACCTTTTGTAAGGGAGTGTCAAACCGCAGCTGTCAATAATTATCTAACCTTGTATTATTGAATCATGGGGAAAGCAAACAAACCCAAAATTACAAATGAGAGGGTAATAAATCCAAGCGATGTAATTGTTGAAAGTATATAAACAAGTAAACTGATGTGCTAAGGATATGTAAATATGTATGCATGTTAGAAATACAAAAAACAAACAAAACAGAATGGGATATTAGCTTGTCAGGGTTAATTTGTTGGAAGGTTGTTAATGACACCTCTAATTAGATGATATTAATGCTTAAATGAAGTGGTACCAACAAATTAAACACTTTTAGGCCTTGCAAAAAAAGAATTGCCTACAGTAGGTAATTTCAGAAATCCATTCAAATTGATGATTTTTAGACAGTTATCATTTATTTTTCAATTTTTATTATTTGTCATAAAATATAGTAAAATTAAGTTAGCTTCAAAACTATCATATACAAGAATATACTGCATATATATTTTTTAATCATATTGTAAATAAGGATATACATATATATATTTTCAAAATTTATCGCTAAAACAATTGGGAAAGTAGTAAATAAATAGGATAGAAACCACAAAAAAGAAATGCGTCCAAACATTCTCGACCGTGAGCCTTCAACGTCTTGTCTGCGCCGCAATATTTATCACCTGCATGTGCCTCTTTTCGTCTTTGACGTGATACGCCTTTTTCAGGATCACCCTAAATTTCTGCGTGGACTAAAGGAGAACCAAATCATCGATATGCTGGCAAAGGAGTATGTTGCTACTGAATGTAAATTTTTTCTCTTTAATGACTGTTTGATTCAATTTAGGGGTTACGCTTGTGGCGACGTGGGGGCACAAGTGAGAATGGCGCTAAAAGAGCTTGCTTCATCCGGGTTCGTACGCTACATGAACAATGGATACAGAACTTTGGGTCCATTTGCGCGCTTGGCTTTGGCGCGTACACCTCGTCAGTTCAATACTGCATGGGATCGGCTTTGTGAGCTGCAGAAGATCAGCACCACCAGCTTGAGTTCGTCGCTGAGCTAACGCAGTCACATCTGCTAATTGTTGGGAACTTGTTGAGTGAGAAGCTGGTAAAACCCACCGATTGCAGAGGGACGTATGGAAATTGGAATATTCGCCTATAATTATACATAGATTTTACCAGATATAACCAAACTATCGGATACCTATTTTAAATTTAACGCTTGTAAAACTAGTAGGGTGTTAATAATAATAATGATAACTATAGATTAGCCCTTAAATGGTGTTCACATGAGGTGATTTTCCAGGCAATTTTAGAGGCGATTAGTTGAGTATATGTTGGCTGTACCCCAACTTGATTGGAAGCGATTAGTTGAAAGGCCGTTTACATCACGCGATTGTTGCTTTCAACTAAAAGTTGCATGTAAAATCGCCTCACGTATACATCGTATTACATATCTCGTCGATGTTTTTACAAAACCGCCCATCGACTAATTGCAAAACTGCCTATCTTACGACACTAAAATTTTACAGGAGAGCGAAAAAACAGCTCTTCTTTGAAGGCATTGCCGTGACAGGCTGTATTTTCTATAGCTATTACTTAACAAATCTGTTGTTTTAACAAAGATTTTAGGATTTTGATGCATAGATCTCAATACCTGGAGTTCGGGGTTACCAAATATCATTGCCACAACGGCGATATCGGCGGTTTTGCAAGGTCGATGGGCGGTTTTGCAAAAAACGTCGACGATATGTCAGTGTTTGGCTGAGCTTCTCCTCCGATTTGTGGAGTGCGCCTTGATATTGTCACCAGGGTTCGGAAATTCTCACTCACATTCTCTCACGTTCGCGATCGATAATATTCCAAATCAATTTTTGCATTCTCACGTTCGGAATGCGATCGACAAAAAAATTTCCGCTGCTTTTCATTCGCGATCGACAAAAACAAATAAATTTCCTCTCACTCGAATATGAGAAGTCCGAGCATTGCCGATGTCGGCCTCTCATAAATGAGAAAAACGATGCAAATAATCCATTCGCGATCACTCTCAACCAGTGTTGCCATTTTACCCGTTTTCCGGCTAGATTTAGCCGGTTGCGATAGCAACCAGCCGGAGAAATTTCGATTTAGCCGGCAGCCGATTTGTTAGCCGTTTTGCAGTAAAAAATTAGCCGTTTTAAGCCGATTTTGCTATTTGCCTTGTTTTCTTAAATTTCAAATATGTATATATGTTTCCATTTTTGACTAAGCGACCCAAAATCTGTTAGAAATGGATACTAGCCTTATCATGGAGAAAATTTTCATGTCAGGCAGGGTTGTATGAAATTGGGCCGATTTCGCTTATTTTTATTTTAAACGAAGAAGGGATTTTCTTCATAAAATGTTTGTTATAAATGTCTTAATTTTAAGTGTGAAATTTTATTCGCAAACTTAGAAAATAAGAAATTGTTTCACTGTTAAGACACTTAAGATGCGTTTGTGTTTGGATATACATAGCGCCAACAAACAAAATAAATATTACATGTAGATATTGTCTTCTCAGATAGCGGATATTCAATTCTGCCTAAATTACAAAACATCATTTTTGCCCACTCCCAAAGGTTTAAGGTAAGGGAAAAATTGATATTTTCAAGCACTATGTACACATATGTATTTTTTTAAACACACTTTTTTGCTGAGAACTTATTTAAATTCCAAAAACCGAATGCCAACTTGAATTAAAGGAACCAACACTGAAGTGAGTCAAAATGAAAATAAAAGAGCACACATTTCTATGTAAAGCAAAACTCTCTGGGAATCCTACGAGACATCTGCCGGTCATATGACCGGTCATCTAAATGGGAGATCTGCAGTCTTTTGGCATCATATTTTACATCACAATTGAAGGGATTTCTGAAAAATCTGACCAGTTCTTTTGTGTAACTGTGATTTTGCATCCCTTGTCAACATATTGTGCCTCGGTTGATGTTAACATAAGGTCGTTGTTTTACTGCCTTAAAATTGAAGGGAATTTTTTACAGCGTTTTTTATGTGTATTGGTTTCTATTTAAGTGTATTGAGAATCGGTTAAAAGTCCTTGTAGGGAAGACAATAGGTTTGTTCGTCGAAAATCCAGCGAGAATTATCACTCAAAATATCAGATTGTAAGAAAAAATGCTCCCAAATTCTCTCTCATGTAGAGAAACTTGCAATTTTCTGTACGAACGCAAATTTGCAACTTTTTCTGCCAGCTAGTGTCCACGGTTGCATTTCAAACAAAAGAAATTTGTATAGAATTTTTAAAATTCTTTCAGAGAGGCAAAAAACAGGATCTACGTGTATATATCTTGTCTAGGGCTGCCAGATATCTCTGTTGCCAAACCGGGACACTTTAGGGAGGGCCTCTCGCTCCCTTCTCTTTCATTTCGACGTGCGAAAGGATGTAGTGAAATTTTATTTTGACAGACAAAAACAAAAACATAAAAACATGAGATCATGAGATCATTACAACGTACGCCAACAAAACAAAACAACTTATCACAACTAAAGCACAGAGAATTTTTCACAACGCATGAACCTTTTTTTATTCTTTATAAAAATACATTACATGAAAAAACATTAAAAAAAATTGTTAAACTTTGTGCTAAACTCCGCAAAATTTAATAAATTTGCATACAAATTTGCAACATCCTAATCAGACTTTTTATAAAAATTTTTAAAATGAAGTTTTGCAGCCCATTAAATTTTAGTTGATTTTTGGTATTGTTTTTACTGAAAGTTTCTTCCATACAAATTATGCACGATAATTCTTTTTATATGGAAGACACTGTCAGCAAAAAAAAATTAATAATTGGCCAAAAAGCTACATTTTCAAAAATTTTCTAAAAGATCTGATTAGAAATTGAGATCTGATTAAAGAGCCTCCGAGCCAATAATTTTGTACGACACTGTACTCTAGGTTTCATGAAAGAAATAAACTTAAGTATAATATAACATAAAAATATCAGTCATATTTTTCGTTGCTGTGAACTTGTTTCAAAACTTCTGTCTTTTCCTTAATATAATTGTAAAACTCTGTGCACGTCATTTTGAACGTATTTAAATAGGTAACTACATATACGAATCATCAACTATTGCTTGTGCAAAGTTCAATTATCTCGAAATGTGACTATTTCACAAATTAAACCGGTGCACTGAGAGAAAGAAGTTTAGAATTAAAAAAGCGTGCTAGATTAAAAAAATACGCATATGAAAGAGCGCCAATATATTTAAGTATACAAATTTTAGTATTTAGTATAGAAATATTCACTTCAAATACGCCCATATTAAAATGAAGCGACTTGCAATTACTGATTGCTTTTTCATAATTAAGGTAAAAAAATATTTAAATTCCATGCTGGTTGTAATGGGAATTGAGCCCGGAAGAGTTAAGGTTCAGTTATTCAAGTTTTTCTTATACCAATCTTTGAAAATAGTTAAAAAACAGCATCAAAAATCTCATTATTACGATTCCGTTCAAATTTTTTTTTATTTTCTTTAAATATTTTTATGTACATTTTTTTAAGCTTAAACCGTTTTGTCATTTGAAGGGCTTTTTTCAAAAACATCTTTAAGAAACTATTTTTATTCATAAGAACCTCCATTTTTGGAGGTATTCTCAAATCGGTCCAGCTCGCTTAAATCTTAATATTTTTCCAAAATATTTTGGAGGACTTCTTAAAATATAATAGATTTTATAATTCCAATGGAAAAACAATACCGATTTTTTTTTGCATGGGGAGTGATGCAGTCTAATGTACATGTGTATGAATGCATAATAAGTGCGCGAAAACCTTTTTTCATATGATCAGATCCACGATTGAGAGAATACAAAGGTTGCGCCGATCTCGGACCGCTATTCCTCTCTTAACGAATTTGACAGAATCGTTGTTTGCATGACGTCACACTGGTGCAACTTGTTTACATTTTTCTTGCAACATTTTTTCTTCTTCTTCCATTCTTGCTCACGTTTTGGCATTTCTCTCTCGCAAATGCACCAGTGTGACGTCACATAAAAGTTATTCTCAAAAATCCTCTCTGATCGGCGCAATCTTGTATTCTATCATTCTTGGATCAGATCTATACCGTTCGTTCGATTTTACAAAATGAGGTACCAAATTAGAGGGCTTGGACTGTAGATAAGCAATAACGTATTATCTTTTCAAAAAGAGTTTGCACCTGATGAGAAATATATTTCAAGCTATTTATAAGTCAATGAATTATTACATATGGGTCTCGATCGAAATGGTTTTGAGAAGGTTTTATTTCTTAATTATATGTAGGAAGGTTGACATCTGTTTACAAAGTTAAATTCAATATATGCAATAGGTTAAATAACTTACTTCAATATGGATATCAATCAAAATTGTTTTGAAAACACTTCAGTTCCAAACTACGTGCAGGAGGACTGCCACCTGTTTGAAAAATTAAATTTAACTTGAATTAAGAGAATTAGATAATTAAATATCTATCACAATATGGGTGTCGGACAAAAAAGGTTTTAATTTGAAAATATTTTGTTTAAAAAGTTAAACTGACAATAGGTCAAATAATTTAAATAATTTACAACAATATGGATTTCAATCAAAATGGCTTTGAAAGACCTTTATTTCTAAACTCCATGTAGGAATTTTTGCCACCCGTTTAAGAAATCAAGTTTAACTTAAATTAAGGCAATTAGAAAATTTTAATATGTATCCCAATGTGGCTGCCACACGAAATAGGCTGTGGTTTTAAAATATTTTTAAGAGGGTTGCCGCCTGTTTTCAAATTTAAATTCAATGTATGCAATTGGTTAAATAAATTATTTCAATATGGATATTAATCAAAATTGCTTTGAAGATATTTTATTTCTAAACTACAGCAAGAGGGTTGCCACCTGCTTTAAAATTTAAATTCAACTTGAACTAAGGGAATCAGATGATTTAAATATGTATAAGAATGCGGGTATCATAAGAAAAAGGTGTTAGTTTCAAAATTATTTGAGGAAGGTTGCCACATGTTTACAAAGTTACATTCGATGTAAATAAATAAATTAAATATGGATATCAATCAAATGGCTTTGATATCTTAAATGCAACTTGAATTAAGGGAATTAGACAATTTAAATATGTATGTATATTTGGGTGTCACA